AGTTATAAATGCCACTGGGCCTGTATTTCGTTCACGTGACTGTAGGTACAATGCAACAATCAGAACAATCAAAAAGAATCAAAAGCTTATTTTAAGCTTTTTATGTGTGTGTTTTAATTTTATGATTTTTAAAAATTAAACACTTACCTCATTCTCAATCCAATCAAAAAGAAGCCAATATTGCTTTTATGGTCTATGACACAGTGATACTGGCTGGAAATCACATGAAGAATGTTTAACAGTCTTCTCATAATTTGTACAGAAACCACTAGATCCAATTTCTATGTCAGCATAAAAGGCTCACAAACCTTATCCTTTATTTAATAAGCTAATGAAAGTATTAAAGAATATTCTCCTTTTCCTTTATGACAGTTTACTGATAAAACTGGAAAATTTTAAATTACCTTTCATTGCAGGAAATCTGAACATTTTAAATTTCAATATAATGTTATCAGACTTTTTACTTTTTAGTGTGAAATGGTACCAAGTTTAACAAAACAACTGGAAGATCTTAATGTAATTCCTCAGATGAAGTATCTGCAAAAGGAGATTAGCATCATGCAACTAAGATCCATCCGGTTAATTCAAGAAGAGGAGGAGCTCCAGCTAAATTTAACATCTCTCTTTGATGCAGTTGCTAAACATGAGGAAAAAACTAAGGGCATCTCTATAAAAATTGCAGATGTAAAGACTGACATTAGACGCATTTCAGGTCTTCAAACAGATATATCCTTATTAATAGAGAATCTAGAAATTCTAGAAGACAAAGTAAATAAAGTTGAAAAAGCCATAATACAGAATATAGGGGATCTTCTCACTAGTAGCATTGACAGGACTACAAAGCTACAAAATATTGCATCTGAAAATACCAGAGAAGTAAAGCACATTAAGGCAAAATCATTTGAGTTGAAAGCAGACTCTACCAAGCAATTCAATAAACTTTTAGAATTGGAAAGTGATAGAGCTAAAGTTCTGACAACAGTAGCCTTTGCAAATGAGTTAAAACCTAAAGTCCACAATTTAAAGAATGATTTGGCCCATTTGCTACTTGTATTAGATGAATTAACATTACGAATTGGAAGACTACTTGGAGATCTATTGGAAAGCCAGAAGGAACTTGCTCTCCTAAATAAAAAGCTATCTAATTTAACTTCAGACTCAAACTGAGTGACAACTATTTCAAAGAGGAACACATCTAAGAACATTTTAATTCTAACAAATCAGAGTACTTTGTTCTAACCAAGTTGTGATGTTAAATCATAAAACTTTAAAAAATAATCTGCATATAGCGAATTTAATTTTTAAAAAGGCAGTTTTGTTTCAATGTCTGAATTAGACATTCAAGTGAAATCACAAGTTTTAAATTATCAGTGAAAATGCAATGATACCTTTAACATTGGTGATGTTAAATCTTATAAAATTTAGGTTTGCATCGTGTTTCTGCAAAACACTCCCAGCATTTTTGTAAAAACAAAAACAAAACAAAAAAATATTGGAAATTTTCTGAAACAAGAGATTCAGGTTTTAGTAGCTAGACAAAATCATTTTAAATCATTTTCATATTAAAATATTTTCCTGTGCCTGCTGTAATTCATTAACATGAGATGAGCATAATTTATTTCTTATGATATGGTAAGGTGCTTTCTAAGCATCCTCAACAAGGAATGTTCAAGACTTAAGACGGGTCCCCAACCCCCAGACTGCAGCCTACTACTGAGCCTTGGCCCATTTGGAACCGGGCCATGCGAGCACAGCTTCGCTTACGTGAGCAGGGGGTGCTCACACTTGCATGCAAAGCTGCCACTCATACAGAACCATCCCCTCCCCACCACCCCAGCCACCAAGCCAGAAAAGTTGGGGACTACTGACTTAAGAAAAGTAATTTTATATTGTTGGTTTCCAAAAAAATTTCTATGTACTTCTGAAAACTTAATAACTTTTCTCTTTAATTCTGAACTTCAGACCAATTTTAAATATTCTAATTTCAAATATTTTGATAAATGACTGTGTATAGATTTATACATATAATTCAAACTGAATGCTTGAGGTAGGTCTAACCTGGAAGCAGATATAACATACAGTTGCAATTTTTATCCATACTCTATTAAATTTGCTTGTAACAGCCTTAATGATATAGGATATTTTCCTGCCTAATGTAGCCTTTTTAGTTAGCAGTTTCTCTGGTTAAAATATTTTGTTGTATTGCACCACTGATAGTATACATGATTATGATTACCCATTTAGATCACTTTAGAAAACCATTTAATTCATATTATAACAAATTATTAAATATAAATGTAAAATTAAAATTATGTGCACTTTTCCTTTCTTCAGATTTAGGAAGGGTAAAGGTAGAACTTAGTAAATAAAAGACCGTTTTCATAAATATGTTGTTTCTCTTTATTAAGATGACAGTATTTCATCCTGTCAGACTTAAAATTATGAAACAAAGTCTTTCTAGTTATTCTTTATTTTGACCACCAATGACCGCCCGAGCCAAGCATGTTTCATTGTCCTATACTGCCATGAGAATAAAGTTTTACAATGTTGCATTATCAGCCATTCAGTCCATCATTCATCTACTCAGTAAGACCAAGCTTTTTCTTCAAGGATTCTGGCATCTCAGGTGGAGGTGGACGAGGAAGTTTGAAATAAACTTTCACAGAGTCATAAATAAACCACTGTAGTGCTGTCAGAGTACCAATCATAATGATACGGGCAAACAGACCCTTCCATACTCCTGATGAGAAAGATACCAGGGTTAGTAACCAAAAGCATTCATTGATTCTCTTTTTTAAAAAAAAATATTTTGATAATTACCTGTGAATCCCAGCCTCTTCAGTACTGCCAGAGCTGAACTGCCTTTTTCTTTGTTCAACACAGATACCACAGAATCAGCAGGATGTGAGACAATGGCACAGAAGACACCAGCTGAAAATAATTAATTTTAAATTTGTTAGTGCATTATGATTACAGATAGATTAGTTATGACAGCAATTGAGATTAGAATTGCTGTTGCTATAGGTCAAAGTGCAATGTCATGTGACTGCACTGCTTAGTAATGGCAACCCCAAATGCTGTTACTACCACATGACTACACAGGTCATTACCCAAGAGGAGCAGGAATATACTACCACCATCACATTTTTTTTAATGTTGAGAAATATTCCTTACCAATATAACCTGCTACAAAGGTAACAACCAGCTGTTCTGCTTTTGAACATTCACTTCTTGGTTTGGGAACAACATATTTGTAAAGAGCTTCCACAGTTCTTTCAAAACAAGCAAACTTCATCATCGTGTATGGAATCTGCCTCATCCACAGTGGAGCAATTCCTTTGTAGAAACTGCACAATAATCAGAAATTAGGAATTTTCTTGAGCTTTTATTAAAGGGAATCTCAAAATAAACTGTTCACTTCTATTATCCTGCAATTAAACTCTTAAGAGAAGAGATGTAAATTTACGAGGGCTATCCACAAAATAGATTACGTTTTGCGATAGAAAAAAAACAGAGTAGGAATTTTTTTTTATTATATACACTTGAAAGTGACTCTTAAATACTACTTTTCAACATATTCACTGAACAAATTGAGGCACTTATCATAGCGGTGAACAAGCTTTGTAATTCCATTGTCATAAAATTCAGCCACCTGAGATTTGAGCCAGTCAGTCACGCCCGCCCGCAGTTCCGTGTCGTCGTCAAAGCGCTGTGTTCCAAGCCAGGTCTTCATCCTCGGAAACAAGTGGTAGTCACTTGGTGCAAGATCGGGGCTGTAGGGTGGATGAGGAAAAATCTCCCACTTGAAAGCATTCAGGACTTCTCGAGTGCGATTTGCTGTGTGTGGTCGGGCATTGTCATGCAAAAACAAAATTTTTGAGCTTAACTTTCCTCTACGCTTGTTCTGAATTGCTTTTCTTAGTTTTTGCAACGTTTCACAATACCTCACAGAGTTTATTGTTGCACCATGTTCCAGAAAATCAATAAGCACACCTTGCCTATCCCAAAAAACAGTCGCCATAATCTTCCTTGCAGAGAACGTTTGCAAACATTTTCTTGGTTTTTTTGGAGAATTTGTGTGCCCCCACTCCATAGACAGCAATTTGGTCTCGCTGTTCACATATTTGACCCAAGTCTCGTCTCCAGTTACGATTCGATCAAGAAATGAATCTCCATCTTTGTCGTAAGAGTACAGAAATGTCAATGATGCGGCCATACACTGACTCTTGTGGTTTTCTGTCAGGATTTTTGGTAGCCATCTTGCACAAAATTTGTGGTTAGCCTAGCTTTTGTTAACAATTTCATGCAACAAACTGCGTGAAATTTGTGGAAAACTAAGCGAAAGTTCTGTTACTGTGAAACGGCGGTTTTCACGAATCTTGTCATCGACTTTCGCGACCAGTTCATCAGTCACAATGCTCGGACATCCACTCCGCTGTTCATCATGACCATTGGCGCACTCCACCTTCAGTGATGATGTTGTCCCTGTACACTTCACACAGTTGCCGAAAAATTTCAATCGGTTTATGGTTTTTTGCCAACAAGAACCTTATCACTGATTGCACCTCACAACTCGTGGGATTTTCAATTGCAGCACACATTTCAAACGTTTGCTGTGAAATAACGGGCAACAATACGAACCTCCCACTAGCACGACTAGATGCAGACTGAGCGGCGGACGCAGACCAAAGATGGCCACGCTAGCTCCGCCCCTTTTTGCTACAGACGAAAACGTAATCTATTTTGTGGATAGCCCTCGTAGATATGGGTACATTTGCATTCAGAATTAAGAAGGAATATACAGCAACCAGCAATCAACTCAAAACCTTTAGATACAGTGAACAAAATCATACCAAAGGTGGTAAAATTCTAGTCTTGCGGGTCAAATACCATTCAGAAACTCCATAAAATTAAAATTAACTGATGTCAATTTTTAGGAAGGTAGAAAAAATATAGATGTCTTTCGTGGCTTTAATTGCAAAAACAATTTTAGCTGCCTTTCATAAATGTCCACATTCCAGCCAAATTCTGATAGGAGAAAATGACATACAGTACAGCCATTTCTATCAGAATATAAGTGACTAGAATGAAGGTATATTTTTCTTACATGCCAATGACTCAAGCATCTTTGACTGTGCAACAGTAAAGTTGCTGATCCCTCTTAGCTGGAGCTACTCATGATAAAATCTATAAGCAGAACTCAGCAAAGAGACATCAAACAAAGATGGATCTAAGGAAGCATGTTGGCTCATACTGTTTTTTTAGAACTGTTACAATCTGAACATGTTGTTAATTTGCCTCTGTGAGAGATTTAATAATACCTATAAAATGAGCCTGTGCAGGAAATTGCAAATACTTACGCCCAAATACCTTCTTCTGCAAACATTTTGGGGACTGCTTGCCTCAATGTATTAGCATATCCAGGCTGTGTCTGAATGCGAACCTTAGCAGCTTCCATTGGAGACAAAGCAATATCAGCAAAGAACTCTGCACTGGCAGATGCAGCTAAATACAATGATGTACGCCACAAATACGAGTTTTCCTAAAAGATAGCAAATCACAAATAGTCATAAAACTTCTACTGAACAAATCAGAAGAAAATGAAGTTAAGCTAAGAAGTGCAAGAACTTACCTCTCCCAACATGTTGCCATACAGGATTTTGAAAACTTCATAAAAACCAAATTTGCAAAGTCCTTGCATGGAATAGCCAATAAAAGTTGGAGCCCATCCTTTTCCCAAGCCACGAACACCATCTTCTTTGAAAGTGACTGAAAATCCACTGAAGATACTCTTATATTTTTGAGGATCCACCTAAACAGGTTTTTAAAAGAAAGTTAAAATAAGCAATATTATAAATGATTGCTTGTTGAATGACCATTTCTTTATCAACTGGAGTTAGTATCAATACCGAATGAGGCATACTTACAACAGGTCATTTTTAGTTGGGGTCATTGCAGTGTTCCTGAGTCACATGACTGCCATCTGTGACCTTCACTACTGGCTTTTGAAAAGCAAAGTCAACTGAGAAGCTAGCAGGAGGTTGCAAATGGTTGTCGTATGAGTGCAGGATGCTGTAACTGCAAGATTTGCCTAAACACAGCAACTGGAGTTCCAAAACTTGGTGCAGTAACTTGTCACTTTACAACCACATTGTTTAGTGACAAGAGTTGCTGTTTTCAATTATCAATGTTAAGAGATATAGTTTATATAGTTTAAATGTGTACATATACATACCACATAAATGATAGAAGCCTCATCTAAGAGTGGTTAGAATCTGTATTCAAGTGGCTAACAGACTAGAATGAAGGGGAAAATCAAGCAGTAATGTTTAGTTGCAAGATAAATTTAAGAGTCATTAGAAAAGTAAAGGCTGTTGAAATAGAGAATAAAAAGGAAAAAGCTATGTGGAAAGTATTAGCAGAAGTAGTTTCCATGTGAAGA